TGCTTAATTAGGGTATCTTACTGCTGCACTCAGAATTGTTATATAGTCACTTACAGCGGACCTTAGAGTAGATTTAATATGAGAAATCTACATTAAGGGCCTGCTTACGTAACTATTCAAATAACACGCAGTGCAGTTGGAATTATAATCACTCATAAGTCAGTAATTTATTATCACAGCGGGTAACCAATTGTATGACGTTTGATTAATTAGAACTTTATTACAGAGGAGGTGTTCAACGCGCCCGAAGCGCTGTGGTTTTCGCCTAACGGATCTTATCTCGCCGTAGCTTCCTTTGACGACAGAGAGGTGGAGTCCGCCATTTATCAATACTATGGCAATCCTAGCGATATTGATAACCAATACCCAAAGCTTGTTCAGTTTAAATATCCCAAGGTAAGTTACATTGGTTTGTAATTTAAAGTGATTGTTATTAAGATATTTCAAAGAAGATAATACATGAACTAACCACAGTTGTTAATATTTTTCTCGTCAGGTAGGTCGCACAAATCCAGTGGTTACTCTTCGAGTCTACAATTTAAGTAATATAGAAAGCGAACCCCTATACATACCGGCTCCTGTCGATGTAATTGGACTGGATCACATACTGGGTAGAGTAAACTGGGCAACGGATCAAAACTTGATCGTTCTTTGGCTGAATAGAAGACAGAATATCAGCATCCTTATTAATTGTGATTTAATTAACAATAAATGCAGCATGGTAAAAGAACAAACGGAGAGAAATGGCTGGATAGATATACAGGATCCTTATTTCGATAGCACAGGAACTAAAATGCTTGAAATACAACCAATGTTCTTTAACGATCAAAGGTTTCTTCATGCAGCTCTGTTTGACTTCAATACATTGACAACGACAGATTTGAGTCCGGGAAACTCTACGGTGACTTCGATTGTCGGATGGAATGAGGAAACGGATACAGTGTATTATATTGTATCGCCTTGGGATCTGCCGTGGCAGAGACAGTTGTGGGCGTCGTCGCAAGGCATCAGTAAATGCATATCTTGTAGAGATGCGACGTGTCGTAACGTTGTTGCAGATTTTTCACCACAAGCTAGTTACGGTATCGTGTCTTGTAGTGGAACCAATTCACCTCCTGTCACATATTTAGTTAATGCAAAGGTAAAATACTAAAATAACTTTATATCAGTAATAACGGTCGCCCGTCACCCCGTCTGCGCGGAATTAAAAATAAACAAAATTAGTAGCCTATGTGTTCTTCCAGACTATGTTCTATATCTATGACAAATTTAAACGAGATCCATACAGCCGTTCTACCTTCACCTTTAAACAAACATCCATCCATCCATCCCAATATTTGCATTTATAATATTAGTAAGATTACTTTTAAAGCTATTAGAATACTTTAATTGATATTAATTCACAGACAAATGGATTAAAGATTGTCGTATATAATAATGAACTGAGTGAAAAGTTAAGGCATTATCGTTTGCCGATGGCCTTATTCAACTCTATCACACTGGACGAAGACATCGTGGCCCACGTGAAACTGTTACTTCCACCTGAAATGCAAGAAGGAAAGAAATATCCGATGATATTGAGAGTTTACGCCGGTCCTGGTACAACTAGAGTAAGGGACAACTTTAATTTAGGTAACTATAATCTATAATAAACAAAAGATAACTAATTCAAGGCACGAATATATCAAATCTGTTCTGTTCTGTTTCACAGAGTACTACGCGTCATATCTAGCAACAAATAGGAGTTTCATAGTAGCATCAATAGACGTCCGAGGCTCAGGCGCTATGGGTGTGGAGGCGATGCACTCGGTTAACAATGCGCTCGGCTCTGTAGAGATAACTGACACCTTGTCTGCGCTCGAGTACGTACAGCTAATTAAAATTAATTGATACTCAGATATGCTGACACTGTCTAGCCGAGTTAAAATAATTTCTAGAAAGAAATTTTTCAAGTTGTACAGCCGTTTAGCTTTACTAACAAGTACAAAATATATGTTTTTATTTAGACCTTTTGATAACAGATTACTGTAAACCTGTGATATTAAATAATCAAATTTTCTTGTTCACATACCAATTGCTATTTAAGGTTTTCCATTGCCGGAACATCTTGTTCTCTTTAGGTTTTTTTCTTAATAACCTGAGTAGTGTTGAATTTCTGTTTAAAACCCTTGTCTATACAAAAGACAAACTCTAGAACTAATGTCAGTTCATAATTGGATGGTTTTTATTTATTTTCATAGACGGTTGATAACTATTTACCCATTCATCGATCCGGACCGCATTGGTGTATGGGGCTGGAGTTACGGCGGGTACGCCACCACAATGATGCTCATAAAAGACAACGTCAAATTGCTGGCGTGTGGCGCTGCCGTCGCGCCTGTCACCTCTTGGCTCTACTATGGTATGCTACAATTATTAAAGAATCTGCTTAATCTCGCACAATAAAAAAAATGTTAATTATAATAACCAAAAACCTTGACTGATTGGACCTAATAAGGAAGAATACGAATCAATTTGTACTTCACTAGACAGAATCAAAACGTTTTAGGTTACGAGAGGTCAGTCTGGTAAAATATGATATAATGAAAAACGTTCCCTGTTCGTCATTTTTAATCAGTGCATTGTGAAAGTATTAATACGTGGTCAGTAAATCTATAAAGCACATGTATATAGTATTATTAAGATGAACGAAGATCGTAAATATTTAATTTGTAGCTTTGAAATGTACGTTCGCGAATGACTGAAGTGAGCAAATGCAATAATATTAATTTTCTCGGCACGTATTCTTCGGGAGCTCATCTTGTGTTGCAGTGAAAATAGACAATGAATTGGCGACATCATGACATTCGCCACTTGGCCAGACTTCCAGTCTCCGAGCTTACAAAATATATCTTTAAATATTGTTTAAATTGCGTCTTTAAACCCCATGTCAAAGAAATTACATAGTATGAGAAATTAAACGTTTTGTAAAGTACTAATTTACTTACATACTAATATATCTTTAGAAGTTCAGATAACTAAAGGTTAGGTAAGTTAAGTCATATTAAATTCATGCATAAAAATATACTGCGTCGAAAAAATAATTTAGCTTATCATCAGGTGCACGATGTTCTATGTATTCGTGTCACTATAAAGCTCTATTGTTAAGAAATATTTCATAAAAAATTTTCTTCTGCATTAAAGTCGTTTCAGCAAAGATGTGAAATGTAAGATGAAGAAAGAACCATAAAAATAGTTTCTAAATAGCTACATTCTGTACGTTGTAAGTACTGGTCCCTAACACCAATCTTCATTTACATTATAACAAAACATAAACTCTTTATGTTTGTAACAAAAAAAACTCAAAAACTACTTAACCTATTTTAGAAATTCTTTTACTATTACATTTCCATACTTGAGTAAAATAGGCTATATTGTATTAACATGCCCAAATGATTTTTATGATTACAGATTCGATATACACGGAGCGTTATATGGATACACCACAAGCCAATCCATTAGGCTACAAGCTGTCGGACCTACTAGGCGCGGCGCAGAGTCTGCGCGGCCGCCGCTACTTGCTGGTGCACGGCAGCGGAGATGACAACGTCCACTACCAGCACAGCTTACAACTTGCCAAGCAGCTGCAGCATGCTGATATAGCATTCGAACAATTGGTCAGTACCAACATTACGAACGACTGGCTGCTGTATCAACCTTATAAATAATAGTTTTAAAGTCTTGTTACTTTTGCATTTGAGACCAACTGTCGATAATAAATGTGTATGGAGATGAAAAGAGTATAATTTGTATAATATACGAATATATTATACTAGCTACTAAATGTATGATTTAAATTAAAGGATTTATCGTGGGTTTCTGAGACCAAAATACTTTAAAAAAAATACTGTTCTGTCATCAGTGTCGTCTTCAGTCATTTTGGTCTCGGAAACTTACAATATATAGTCCATATAATTATGGTTGCTGGAATCAAATTCGTAAAGGAAGACCAGCGGGAAACAGTTTATTTATTGTAACTTTCTCATCAAGTTTTGTTTTGTTTGAATTGTCATTATTGTAAAATTATTGTTTCAGAGTTACACTGACGAAAATCATTCATTGGCGGGAGTGAGTCGACATTTTTACCACGCGCTCGATCATTTCTGGACGGAATGTTTTGATCAATAGATATAAGTCTGTTAATTTATTCATATGTAAATTACTTAACATGAGATGCAAAAATCAAGACTGCGTGAATATGTGTTCCGTTGCTTCGTGGTACATAAAATTTTACTATTTGGTGATGACATTAAATACAATGAAGAAAGATGTTGTAAGTGTAATTCGAATAAGTTGAGATTAAAGATTTAATTTATAAATTAATTTGTTTTATTAGTATTTTTAGTTAGTGGTTTGATGAACATTTAAATGTTCGTAAATATTGAATACCTAATGAAGTAAGTAGTATGGATACCGTTACGTGGTAAATTAAAAGTGTTATTAATATTTAAAAAGCTAAAGAAGTCACAGGAAACAATGTATATGAAAACGTTAGACAAGTCAACTTTCAATGCAGCGAAGAAGGTTCTCTTCCATCATTCTAATGAAGTAAGAAAATAGATTCTGTATTCTGTTTAATTTCACCATAGATAAATATTTGACAATGTCATAACAAATTTGGAAAATATAAGAATAAATTTAAATAGTGTATTTTGTATTGTTATTTAAACAAAATTTTCAATGCTAAATTCAAAATGGAAAACTCTCAATTTTCCAATCGAACAATGGGGAAAAATATTTATGAGATGGTAAGTTATAAATATTATGCAGTAAACAATATTTAAATAAAAATATATTTTTCTCTTTCAATGAGATAATATTATTGGTAAAGTATTTATTTTGAAATGTTAATCCCAATAAACAAATTCACTTTTGTCAAATATCACAAAAATATTGATTCCCCTGACAATAGTATTATACTCGACGCAGTTTTTCACTAGTTTTAGAAATGAAATTAAACCAATTGCTTTAAAATATCAACAAATACTTCTAAAGGCAACGCATTAATTTACTTATAGCATGTCGGAGGAGAATACCAAAATTTACGATTGTGGGCCCATAATAGACGACCGAGGGATATGCGCAGTGAAGCCTTGTGACTCTGATATATGCCATCCGCAACCACGAGTTATCATCATCGGCGCCGGCATGGCAGGGCTGTCCGCCGCCGCTAGATTAGCGCAACGGGGCATTGACAATATTGCTGTACTAGAGGCCAATGAAAGGTTTGTAAACATTGATGTTATATATGTAACTAAAGTTATTTTTTTTTACTTTTTACCGCTACATATTTTAACTTTTTTCCAGACCAGGAGGTAGAATTAATTCATGTTGGCTCGGTGACATTGTAGCAGAACTAGGCGCTCACTGGAGGCCCGATAATTGCTTCACTCATCTAGTTCATTCGTTGGCTGCGTCAGAAAACCCTCCCCGTCCTGGAGTTCCAGGTGCCCTGCATACGAGGGGACTCTTTAATAGAGCAGTGACTGGAAAAATGGCATATCCTCCAACGATTAGTGCATACTACAAGTTTCGGCAGATAGAAGAGGAGGCTGCTCAATTATATTGTTTGGGCGGGAACAAGCAACATGGATCATTGGTAAATTTCATGAGCCTTCGCATTCAGCAAGAACTCCATGAGTACCCACCGGAGCAGCAGGAAGACGCTGCGAGAATAATGTTCGGACTCGCACATATATTAAGTGCCCGGTGCGCAAGCGACACCGCATTGCTCCGAGCGGACCACTCTTGTTGTTTCATGAACATGCCGGGCGGTGATGTGAGAGTGCCCTTAGGGTTGATAGCCACATTAGCACCGATTCTTCGACAAATACCAGAAGGAGTGATACGTTACTGTAAACCAGTTAGTTCAATCTACTGGGGCACATCCCAAAAAGCGGGACATCGCGCTATAGTTTGCGCGTGCGATGGGGAGGAATTCCCAGCAGACTATGTCATAACTACGGTATCCCTAGGTGTGCTGGGTTGCAACGCTGGGCGTTTATTCTGTCCGACACTTTCGGCTGCCAAGATAGACGCCATGCGCTGTCTTGGATATGGTTATTGTAATAAAATATTCTTAGAGTATTGCCGTCCGTTCTGGTTTTGGCATAAAGGAGATTTAAACTTTAATTATCAAAATAATGAACTATCCTGTCAATCGAATTGGACGAAAGGTATTACGGCAATAGAGATGGTGCCAAACAGCAATCATGTGATATGTGTATGGGTTGCGGGTGAGGAAGCCATGGCAATGGAATGTATGTCCGACAAAGACGTAGCCGAGGATGTCACAGATGTAATGCGATGCTCGAGTGGCAACCAATGTTTGCCATATCCGGTGACAGTGTTAAGATCACGGTGGATTTCTGATCCATTCTTCTGCGGCTCCTATTCATACGAAGTGGAGTGTACCGGTGGCGAAGCTCAGAGAACTTTGGCATGTCCGCTGCCAGGACCCGACTCACCGATACCTCCTATACTTCTCTTCGCTGGAGAGGCCACCGTTCCCGGTCACTTCGCCACTGTGGCTGGAGCAAGAATCAGCGGTATTAGAGAAGCCGAAAGAATTGTACAACTTACAATAAGATACAAAGGTCCGCCAATACCGGTAGAATGTCAGGCCAGCAGGCAACAAGCAACGGCAACACAAATATGATAAATGTTCATTTTGCCCGATTTTCTTAATGTTGTTAACTATATCTCATGTTCAGAAACAAACTTACCGCATCTGTTTCCTTTAAACTTTGTATTGCAAGTTCAAACTGTGTGATAAAGTTACCGCACCGCATTCCTATAAATAGCCTGTTTTCCAATTACATTGAATTTCATTGCAATCTCTTAACTTTTGGTGTTGGAGAACATCAAAGTCAATCAAGTAGGAAATCTTACTTTTTCCTATCTTACTAATGGTATAAATGCGAATGTTTAGATGGATGAATGGATGGATGTTTGTTTGAAAGTATCACCGGAAAGGCTGCTAGGATCTTGCTGAAATTTGGCATATATTTACAATATAGTCTGGAAGAACACTAAGCTACTAAGTCTTTTTTCCTTCCGCACGGATGGAGTCGCGGACGACAGCTTGTATTTCATAAATAAACGATGTCAGGAAAAGCAAGTAAAAAATATAAAGTGAAAATCATATATATTTGACTAACTGACATTTTTCTATGGATCATATCAGCCTTACCGTGCAGTGTCAGATAAAAATGAATGGAGGAAAGCGTATTGTCGCTTCCCCGCCACCGCGGAAATTGCTGAGTCGTGAGAATTGGCTGCAAATAATTTTATTATAGAACCTAATAATTCAAAGTAAAGAATTTATTATGTTTTTAATAAATGTTTTTTTTTCGAATATATATAATAGAGTCTTTTTAGAATTAGTATGATGTTTTGGCTTAATTTTTACATCAGGATTTATCCCTTTGCTGTTTCTGATTTATTATCTCGAACAGTGTTCATTGTGGTAACTATTGGAGTCTTAGGTCTATTTTATTAACTCTATACGTACTAGCACTTTGACGTCTTTTAATTACGTACCTATCCATAATACAGATTCTACTTGTCGGGTTTCTCGTACTTGGGGAATCTGAAGAATGCCTACAGCTGTTCAGTACTTCGACTTTATCTACAAAAATCATTACATCTCTATAATTAACTTAATAAATATGGCTTAGAAAGATTTGTCACTCTTTGTTTTTATATTTTCGATGATTCGATTTAATGTTTTCTCGCAAAAATGATTTACAATTTTCACAATGTTTTACAGATTATGTTTTCTGTTTGTACGAAAAAATCTATTTATAGACAGAGAAATTAAATCTGTAAGCATTATGCGATTATTTGGTCCTACTAGACGAATTGCGAAAAAAAAGGTATCATTTTCTTGTAAATCAATTAGTCTTAAGTCCTACGTTGAGGCAAGGAGAGAGGGGAGAGAGTTGTGGATTACTTCCTCCTACCATTTCCATCGAATTTATTTTTAAAGGAGCATTTTAGGTATTTTCAACTATATATTAGCATCCCTCAACTACACATACAGAGATGTTCCTTCAGTTGCAATTGACAATTACTTTTAATATCGTATTGGCGTTATTCTTAACCAACAATAACTACAATTCGAGGTCTACATAATTTTCTGCGATGTTTTCTCCATCGTATAAATGTAGATTATTTTTGCAATCTGTTTTTGTTCGGAAATATTTTACGGAGGTTGTTTATTTATTGTTGTAATAGATTGGGTACAAGATATAAATTCGGTAAGGTGCAATTTGAATGGACAGGGTATATATTATTCTCAACTAAAACATTTAAGAAGTGGATTCCAATAATAAATTACATTTGTGTTTAAGATTTTATGGTTTACGATGTGATACTGATTGAAATTTTACATTTCGATAAACGCGATATTTTGAAATTATTTCAGAGTTAAATTGTTATTGTTATGGGTAGGCTTCCATTTCAATATCTTAAAACGAAATCTTAAAATATTTAACTATAAAATTATATATAAACTTAACAAAACATGGTGCAAACATGGACTACTGTCCATGTTTGCACCTACTTGTATCTACTGATAACAGTTCAAGAATTGTGTACTCTTTTTTTATTAACCTTGATAAATAAAAATTCGTAAACATCATAGAAGAATCTCGAGTGGTTCAAGGTAACGGATAAGGCCGGGTGAAAGCGTTGTGACCGGCGCCACGGCGCGCGCCGCGCGAGCTAACTGTGCAGATGGCCGATTGCGGGACAGCGGGAACACGCAAGAAAACGTTGAGACTGATGCGTGACGCAGCGCGCAGGATCGGCGCCCCCCACCCCGCCTGGTGCGTGCTAACCCCCGCGCACCCAGCACGCCGCTAACACGCCGCACTTCGCTTCCTCAGAAAAAAACATCGATATTCGCGTGGTGCGTAGCCTGCAGCGTGGTGGCAGGTGGCGGTGGCGCCGCGTGCAGCGCTGCGGTGCAGGCGGTGCGTGAGCTGCGGCCCGGGCGCCAGTCGCTCGCAACACGCGGCCGGCGCAGGTCGCGTTTATTCGGTCGCGCTGCGCTATCTACGCCGCCCGCCCTACGTCACGGTATCGAGATCGGGTGCACTCCCTCACACCCTGCAACAGTGCTGGCGCACTAGGCGGCCTGCACACATGCACTTTTCATTCATCCCCGAAGCGGTCGAGACTCGCGATCCCTCCGCGCTTGGTTCGGTCTTATCAATCGCCCGTGCGTCTTTATGAGGCAGTGACCCTGAAGCTGAAGCGACTTGTGTAGTATCGAAGTGATCTACCCGAACTGGTAAGAGGGATGTTTTGCTTATAATTCATTAACTACATAAGAAATTAGCCATCAAAGCTACATAATATTTCTGCGAAGAAGGAGTATTGCGTTTTATCTCATAGGAGTTGTCATGAGGGAGAAAAGACCAACAGTACTGGCGAGATGCCAAATACCGACCGCGCACATCTTTCAGTTACAAAATATTTTAGAAATATTGTGTTAGTCATTTAAATTAGGGACATTCTGATGGTTCGTCTTTGGTGGAAGCGAAGAAACCTAACGGAAAATATTTTAAATGAGTCTTCCAGAGGAGATGGTTCTTACATTTCGGTGCACAGGAACAATTTCAATCACCATTCTTCAACATCGGCACAATCCGAGCAATGTTACCAAAAACATGGGCTACTAAAAGCTCAGTCCATTAGCCAGGATCTTTTAACGTATTAAACAAGTGAAAACTGTTCACATTCACTATCTTTATGTATAACTTACATGCTATGCTGAATATATTTATCTTTTGAAATTAATTTTTCTATCAAAGTATCTAGAAATATTATTTTCTTGTAAGGACTCCGTTGTAACGTCGTTGTTCTTTGACATATCTTCAATTGGGACAAAATTCAATCGAGCATTTTTTTGCTTCAGTTCTTTTTGCAAAGGATTTTTTTCTATATATCTATTCTATACGTATCTGTACATGTATAAGTGTCTTAAATATACAGTTTCATTATTGTGTATCTATAAAATAGCCAAGGAAGATGCTATATTAGTCAAACAATGTAATAGAACAATACATAACCTAAAAACTCCATATTGTTAATACAAAATTCGTTCGTATCTGTAGTCTGAAGCAAAAATTTTCACATTTTTTTAAATATTCAATACTTTTATTACAAAAATTTGCTACATTGCGGAGCAATAATAACATAAATACGAAATGGTATGCGTGTATTAATAGATAGAGTTTATTTTAAGATGTCACACGCAGCCATACCACAAGCATATAAGAATTTAAGTCCACTCTCTTATAAGAATAATTCTCTACTATACTTTGTACCTTACTAGCTCACAAATGTCCCTGAGGGCCAGAATTAATTATATTTTTTTCATAAAATTTCCCGTTTGGGATATCATAATGTTTGGTATGGTTTCAACTTGACTACAAGATCAGTAAGTTCTCATCGTAGATTTCGCAAACGACAATCACATTAAATGCCTTCCTTAGTAACCTTTATCAAATCTGAGTTTGACACTCAGCATTGCAATTGCAAACGTCTGTTTGTCAAATTACTTGATAATTTATACCTTTGTTTGAATTAGCTTAGCTTTTTGTTGGAAAACATCGTTATCCTCAACGATAAGGTTATAATCCTTTGCTTATCAAAGTCTTATCTGAGTCTAGTTCTTTTGAAATTTTGCAACTTATGCAAAATTTATCGGTGATGGAACTATATCTCCAAAGTTTTATGTTAGTCAAATGTGTACGTCCTTCGTGGGTGTCCGGACGACGTCAGGTGTCGCAAAGCCACTGCTCTCATAAAATCTCATCTGCTCTCTACTACAAATATATTTTGGTTCTAAAGATCACAACATTGTTTAAACATGTTTTAGAATTAATTTACTTTTTATACTGAGTTTAAAAGAATTTTATTTAATAATTATTAATGGAAGAAATCTGAGAACGTTATCGACCTCTTTAGGATTTTTCTATTTTTCTTTCCAGCATTTCTAATAACAAGGTATTTTGTTAATAAAAGTTAGTTATCATTTCAACTAAGAAAATAATAGGAAAGTTAAAGTTTTAATAATCTCATTTCAAACAAAGCTTCGATTTTAATTTATTCAGAATTTATTCATTAAAGTGAACTTGTAATTTTCCGATTCCCCTTACATTTGTTTACGCCAGCTAGTTTCAGATTAATGAAATTATTCGAACGCTTTCAAACATCTGTGAATTACTTAACTCGAATTTAATCAGCGTACAATGTGTATTCGGTTGATGGTTTGATTTGAATGGAGAAAATGAATGTCCTTAGCGCATAATTATACGAGGACTCTCTAAGTTAGGGATAACTAGGCTTTAGTTAACGCTGGTTCAATAGTGATTGATTCATTTCACGTAATTTAAATTCCTTCGTACCCATGTGCTTACTTTTACACGTTACACGTGTTAACAAGAATATAGCAAACTCATTGGTCAAATCCAAGATCTGTAGATTCGTCTGGTACTTAACCAATGAGCTACTGACGCTCCTAAAATTAATAGCATTGCTTAATTGTCATTTCAGTCACTGTGTTGACGTTAGAAGCAATTGGTGAGCTGCTATCGGAGATGCAATTTCCCCGGCGTATAATTGTTCTCCAGGCGTCTACGCCTTCCGTTATTGCTGTGCCTAACAACTGACTCCGTTAGTCGTTTGCTCTGAAGCGTCGTTTCGCGTTCCTAAAACCAGTTGGATTTAATTAAACCAAACAGTACTACTAAGTAGTACTACAAACTAGTACTAACTATTTTGCTTTATTATTTACTATTACCTTCAATAAATCTATGAATATTTCTAATCACACGAGTTTAAAAATCATAAAGATAATTTAATAATAAGTATCAGTAAAGTAAAAGCATCGTAAGTTTAATATTTTCGTAGCAAAATTAATACATTTTATCATATGAAGAGCGCGCAAAATATATTTTTTGTTACATATTATTAAAAATAGTAGATGAGTTCCTCGCCGCATATATGTTCGCGTTATTATCTCTTCCCGGGGTCTGACCCATTTCCGAGTGGCTTGGCGATGGTGAGCTAATATTCAAATAGATAAATCAAATGTCTACAGACTTTTTGCGGCCCGAAGATTGATGATAAAAAATTTTGGGAAATACTTTGAGATATGCTTGATATTATAATACAAATATTAACGCCGGGTTTGGACGGTAGATAATACATGTCCGAATATATTACATTACAGTCTTGTCATGTCCTTGCCTATATGGTGATGAGTTTATAAGAGGTCAGAACAGAAATTATTCTCTATGTCTATTGATTAAGAATTTTTGGTAGGTATTACTAAAATATTTTGTTTTTACAACGATTCATAATGCAATTGTAATAACATAAAAAATATATATTTATTCTTTTGTTTCAGATTGTCGTCAAATGAACATTTGAAAACAATAGCTCATCTAACTGTAAAATAATGTAAAGTAGTATAATTTAACGTAAATAGTGTGTTTGTTCATTAAAATACTTCATTCTTAAAGTGCCTCATTGTGATTTAGTTTAAATATTTTTGGAACAATTACTATTTGGTGATTATCTGGTACTAGATAGTGTGAACAATTTTCATCCGACGGTTTTGAAGATTCCGCGATGATGTTTTGAAGGTGAGTGATCTCTTTTATCTGTTTAAAAAAAATCTTTTTGAACGATGATTCAATGAACCTAACCATAAAAACAATTTAGACATTACCAAAAAACATGATTATTGAAATACGATTAAGCGCAGGCTTCTGAGACGCGATTTAACGAATAAATAACAAAGTACTTAAATCGGAACCAGTTTTGGGGATACGTACTTAAGGGTAAAAAATATAACCACTTTGAATTCCATAACAAAAATCACCGGCGGTCAAAGGGTTAAAACACGTATTTAAACCACTGTTAGTACAGTAAGGCACTCCTAACTGTATTTTTCGAAAAAATGCTGAATGTCTTTAATTAGAATTCAATCACTCCTGACTTGGACTTTATTATTTTATGATGTAACAAAAATATTGCTTTTAAAACTATACAAATCCTAAACTGTTGTGAATGTTAGTTAAATTTATTCAGATGGGATAAAAGGAGCATCCAAACTGGCTCTGTCTTACTATCGGATACATTCAAGATTTTTGTATTACAATCCTCTTGGTAAGTATTTACCAGCGGCTTATAATAAACAGATATTCAATTTTCTAAATAAATAGATTTTGATCGCATTTACGTATAAGATAATCGAATTTATTTGCCATGTTAAATATAAATTTTATTCAAGATTTATTTCTTTCTAAGATGTATTTCGTTTAACAACATTTCTCATATCAATATGATTCTATTTCCTGTGTCTACATTCAGACATCTATTAATTTGCTTTTCTATTATTACTTTGGCGACAATCCAACTGAGAAGACATCGTATGGCCTTCGCAAAGGTTAATTATTTTAATTCTTACAATATTTACATGCGTAATTTGATTTATATTTGCATTTAAATTATTTGTTGTAACAGAATTCACGGACATTTGGAACTTTCAATGACACGTAAATGCTCTTTCTTTTGTTCTCTTCGTCAGACACATAAATTCAGATAAGTGGTTATATTGTTAGAATTTTTTGTTAGTTCTTTTGATCTTCTAGACATTGTTATGTAATTATATTATTATAAATCAGATAACCCAAGTAAATTAAGTTTCGTTTTTGCTAATATGTTAATCTTCGCTTTAATGTGTACGTGATTTTTAGCTTTAAATACAGTTTTTTTTAATGGTTTTAATGACATAACAGATCACAGTTTCGGCATTCGTATCTCTTATTTCTTTTAAATATACGTTTAACATAGATTTTCATTGACAACTATCTTCTTCATCTTACTAGTATAACTTTTAGGCAAACATATTTTGAAAGATTTTTCATTTATGGACTACAATTTTTTTGAAGCGTTTTAGAGATCGTATATCTATGTATTCAATATGTGATATGCCAGTCATAGAGAACATTTAGGATTTCTTCGCAACCACGTAATTGAGGAAGTTGACCATTTATAATATTTAGAGTCACGTAGGGGAAGGGGAGGTTGGGGCGGAATGGTCGCAGTGAGACGTCGCACTGAATAATGTTGCGCTAACATCACTAAAACTTTGTGCTTAAACTAACCTTGTGTTAAAATACATTTACACTTGCAAACTTCTTTAATGTTTACATTCATATTTGTTACAAAGTCTTATGATATTAATAGGGAAAAAGAACACTCTGTATAGAGCTCCGCCCCATCAGTCATACTAATATTATAAATGCGTATGTTTAGATGGATGGATGAATGGATGTTTAATTGAAGGTATCTCGAGAACGGCTGCATGGATTTCGCTGAAATTTACCAAAGATGTAGAACACATAGGATACTAAGTTTACACACATAGTTTACTAGTTTTTTTTATATACCGCGCGGACGGAGGCGCGGGCAACAGCTGCCTGTAATATTATACACAGAATTACGTATGAAGTTTCGAGTAGGAAGAGTGATCGTTCATAAATAACAATCGAAACAGTGACGACCAATTACGGCAATTAACAACTGACAAATCACCTGCTAGCCGAAAAACGATTAATCCGAGTGATTTATTTTATTGATAGTTCTGATTTCATTGCTCCAACTGATTGCTCTATTGATTTGTTCCAATTAAATATCTACTATATCTGTGCAATACGAATTCATTCCTTTAATTAGATTCTGTACATTGATGAACATATTGTTTCCAATATTAGGGATAGTCTTCTTAATTTTCAGAAGTTGGTTAATGGCTGAAGTCATTTATTTATAAATGTATAATAGATTATTGTATTAATGTATTTTGATAGCTTACACTAAATATTTTCAATTGACAAGAGGAAGAAAACGTTAAAAGTTATTCAGCAAAGACGTTGCAGTAAAATAATTCGTAGTCGTATTCTCTTACAAGATTTCCTGTGTTTCAAACTTATTTATATGTTTTAGAAACGTACCAGATTGCATCTGTAAGTGAAAATGTTGTATTTTCTCCAAACTTAGTCATCAAATCGAACAGACAGTTCGAGATAGATTATGAATAGAATATACGAATGTTAATATCACCTTGAGAGACATCACTTAAAATAAAGTTAACATATGATTTAGTAACATATTATAGTAGATAATTAATTTAATTTAAAAAATGATTCTTTTACGTCTCTCTTTTAATTAAGAAATACATTTTACTAATATTATAAATGCTAAAGTGTAGATGGATCGATGTTTGTTATAAGGTATCTCCTAAACAAGTAGACCAGCTAAATCTAGTTGAAATTTGGCATAGATGTGGTACATAGCCTGGAAGAACACATGAACTATTTATTAAGTTTTTAATGTTTTAAATTCCGCGCAGATGTGTCGCTGGCTATCAATATTGAGAACTCTTAGCTAATATTGATGTAAGTGTACATTATGTCATAATAATTTATATATTTACGAAAAAAGGTCTTCTTCATCAAAATCCTGTATCGTGTAAGAACTTTAATTACATTTTATAAGAGCAAATAAGTTCTCATTTTAATTAGCGATGGAAAGCGAATCTCAAGCTAATTTGACCGTTGGTCGAGAGCTTTCGTACCTTATGAAATTCAGGCCGGCATAGAGCGAAAGAGCTTTCACGTACAAAATTATTTTCGCGTCTTATTTTCATATGTTTTTTTAAAAATGTCTTATTAATCTGAAGGTGAGGTGAAATTTTTATACATATCTCATTTTTTAATTACTATTTATTTCTGTATTTCGGAATTTGTACGTCCGATTTAAAATTACTAAAAAGGAACAATTATTTCAAAATTTATGTTTAAGAGCTACAAAACTCTTTTAAATAATAATAAAATTATTTAAGGGAGGCGGTGTGTGGTTTACCATAATAGCTCTTTTATTGTTAAAGAATATTTTCTTTAACAGTTAAAAAAATAAAGTAGATATTGCTAAAGTTTCAACCTCAGTCTATTTAGTTTTTATTCTTGAAGTAATGTCTTAAATTTCTTGAAATTAAATTTGGGCTTAAAAGTACTTCCTGTGTTCCGGAGCCTTAAATCGCTTTTTGGTATAAATTATGTTTGGATGTTCTTAATTTAAATGTAAGTTTTATTTGAAATAAGTTTAAATGCTGTTTGAGTCACATCTGCTCTAGTTATAAATATTTTTATTGTTATTGCACGATAGATTTGACTACACGTTTCAGTCGGTTGTTGAAAACTGTTATTTTACTTCCTAACGTATGAAAACATTGACATAATATGTTAAATCTTAACGGGTTAACAGTGGGTTTCTGAGACTAAAATCCCCGTTTATAAACAATTATCTCTATTTAATCAAACACGATGACAGATGAGTTTTGTTTTATACAGAGATTTTGGTCTCGGAAATCAACGGTAAGATCGTTTGAATCTATATACTGTTGTTAAAACTTGGCTTATCTTTAGTACTGGTAGACATCAGTAACGTCAAAGTATTAAGAATTCTAGAAAATTGCTGATTTATCTCTAAAGTCAATTAATTTCGGAAGTTAAAGAATTTGCATACTATTGAAAACAATTATAGAGCACTCGTTGGCATTACTCCAAGTCTTTTAGTCGCCCCACTTGTCTTCATTTAAGGAAAAGCGTTAATCGTTATAGACGATTGAAAATTAGTGCGACGAGGTTATAGAAAACCAATTTAGCTGATAACATATCTGGAATAATCTTACTAATATTATAAATGCGATTGTTTAGATGGATGTATGTTTGTTTGAAGGTATCACCGAAACGTCTAATCGGATCTCATTGAAATTCGGTTTATGAAGAACATAGATTTATTAAATTCGCGAGGACGGAGTCGCGGGCGACAGCTAGTATATTATACACATACATAGACTAGCTAAGTTGGCTGACACAAGGACACAAAATATTATTTAAAAGTAATAGGGTACGGAAATATTTTTTTTATAAAAGTTATGTTGGGTCTCAGAATATTATTAAAATATTATGTATACATATAAATAAAATTGGAGTGTCTATTTGTAACATTGGAATAACGTAAGTTACACCAAAATAATATTTTTTACAATTTTTGTCTGAACGTTTGTCTGTTTATACCGGCTTATATCAGAAATGGCTGGACCGATTTTGACGGGACTTTTATTGGCAGATAGCTAATGTAATAAGGAGTAACTTAGGGTACTAAAACAATATTTTAGAAATATTGTTTTATTTAAAAAAAATAAAGTAATACTGTCCAGTACCACGCACAGATCAAATACAGTATTTCACGCGGACTAAGTCGCGGGCGCGGCTAGTTTTTTATACGTAAAAGAATAAACTGATCGAATTGACTTCTCAAAAGCTTTGTATTTTCTTCTTCGTATTCTTCATTACTGAAGGTCGTGCTTGTCTTGATACGCTTTAACCAGCTGCCTCCACGCCGTCCTGTCTTCGGCTTGTCTCAGGGCAGCTTTGTATCACTACCTTTAAATTGATCGTTAAAATATAGGACAGGTACTCATTACAAATTTAACATTATATTACTCCTCTTTAGCATATTAAACTGAAATGGGATGCCTTTACAGTACTTAGTAAACCCGAAGCAGTTTAATTCT